TTCTCCTCCTATCTTTTTTTAAATGAATGTTAAAAAGCAGCGTCTGAAATTCCTGAAGCCAGCTTTCTCATTTGAAGAACACAGTGAATTCTATGGAACTCCTCACCTGATGGGATGATGGGGAACTTGATCAGTGTTTTACAAACTTGCCTACGGATCCCCAGGGTGCTTGGTAAAAATGCAGGTTCCAGGGCGCTCCTAAGAACTAGCACAGAACGCTGTCAGGCCTTCATTGGGAGCTTGTTCTCAAGAGATCAAGAGCGCAGAGTCCTGGGCCTCCCACGCCTGGGAAGGCGCCCCGTGACTCGCATGCCCACAAAAGTTTGGGAGGCCACGTTCTCAGCAGCCGTTCCGGAGCTTGGCTGCACACTGGGATCTGAGAGTCATCTGACGAAAGCCAACTCTCTCATGCCTGGGGCTCACGCGAGGACCTCTGATTGGTCTGCGATGGGCCCCAGTATCGCTCACTTCGTGTTTACTTTGTAATGTTTACTGAGGTTTAATATGCATAAAGACAAGTGCATGGCCCAGCCCGGCCGGTGTGGCTCAATGGATTGAGTGTCTTCCCATGGATTGAGAGGTCCCCGTTCAATTCCCGGTCAGGGCACATGCCTGGGTTGTGGGCTCAATCCCCAATAAGGGGCATGCAAGAGGCAGCCAATTGATGTTCTCTCTCATTGACATTTCTCTCTCTCCCTTCCTTTCTCTCAAATAAATAGATAAATAAGTACATCACAAAAGAAAGAAAGAAAAATGTATACATCAAGGGTTCAACTTCCTGAGTTTTCCCCAAGGGGCCACACCCGTTGCCCAGATGAGGAACGAGAGCATGAGCAGCACCCAGGACCCTGCAGACCCCTTCCCGTCACGACCCCTCACCCTTCCAAAGGTAACCAGACACTGGCTTTCCACACGGGTTCTGCCTGCTTTGTTCTCGCTGTAAGGGGGTCGGAGGTGTGTTCTCTTCCTCGTCTGTCCTTCGTTGGCCCTGTGGTTCGTGCAGTGTTGTGTGTGCTGTGGTTGGTCCAGCCCCACTGTGGACACAGCTGTCTGTCCTTTTATTGCCTGAGGGCATCCGGGTTGCTTTCCGTTGGGACCATTGTGAATGAGGCATCTGCGTTTCTTAATAGAGCCTGTGCTGATTTTAATGTCCAGCCAGGTTTGAGAGCCACCTGCCGACAGGATGCCACCGCACCTGTTGGGAAAAGCGTGTACCTTTGCAAGGACACCGCCGGTGGGCACCTTCTGCCTAGCACTCTTCAAAATCCCAGACTCGCAGGAGAGCAGGGTTCAGCATAACCCATGCTGTCTGTACAAACAGCGTGGGCCCAGACTCCAGTCGAGGGCCAACCTTGCAAACTTTCTAGGAGAGCAGTCTGGTTACGGTGGCCCTCTTCTGCACACTTTGTCGCTGCCCCCCACCCTTTCCGAGTCCCAGCTCAGCGTGAAAGCCAGGCTCAGTTCCCGAACCTCATCGCCACCCACGGCTGTGTTCCTAGACCGTGAGGGGAGCCTCCGCCCTCAGGCAGCCCAGCCCTCCCCAGCTTCTTAGGGGCGGGCAGGGGAGGGGGCTCAGAAAACCCTCCTACTTCTTATGGGTCTGCTAATTCATCACCAAATGTGTCGTATTAAGAATCCAAGTGCAACAACAATGAGGTATCACCTCACACCTGTCAGAATGGCCGCCATCAACAAATCATCAAACAACAAGTGCTGGCGAGGGTGTGGAGAAAAGGGGACTCTAGTACACTGCTGGTGGGAATGCAGACTGGTGCAGCCACTATGGAAAACACTATGGTGCTACCTCAAAAAATTAAAAATTGAACTTCCATTTGACCCAGTGATCCCGCTTCTAGGAATATACCCTAAGAAGCCTGAAACACCAATCAGAAAGAATATATGTACCCCCATGTTTGTAGCAGCACTATTTACCATAGCTAAGATCTGGAAACAGCCCAGTAGACTAATGGTTCAAAAAACTGTCGTACATATATACAATGGAGTACTGTGCAGCTGTAAGAAAGAAAAATCTCCTATCCTTTGAGACGACATGGAGGGACCTGGAAAGTATCATCGTAAGTGAAACAAGCCAAACAGAGAAAGACAAGTATCATATGATCTCACTTATTTGTGGAATATAATGAACATAACAGTCTGAGGAATGGGGTAGTCCCAGAGACGTGGAATAATAATAAAAAAAGAATCCAAGTGCTCCCAATGTAGGAAATCTCCTTGGGGCAACTAATGCTTCATGTGTCAGAAATGAAAGTACTCCCTATTAATTTTTAAAGAATTTTTAAAAATCCCAATAGAATTTCTAATCTCAGTTATCAGGCTGAAAAACAAGCATCAATGTTGGGAGGCTGTCATCTAGTGAATAGCTTCTCCAGCAGAGATCTGGAAGCCTGAATTTCCATCTGTCCATCTGGGGTCTGTTTCTCTTGGGGGGTGTGCATGGCTCCCTGCCTTGCTTCTCCCTTTAATCGGGGCCCACTTAGCCATCAAGCAGTGTTTAGGGCCTTTGGTACTTTCAGGGAACCACAAAAATGTTTTCTTTAGGGACCACAAGAGTATTTAGATTTCCTTAAAAATCAGAATGGAGAAAAATAGGCTTTTAGGGTCGAAGATCATGTTCTAATTTTTAATCCAGCCTGGGTTGTAGTTTTCTTCATGTCAATGCAGTTGTCAAATGGAATTAATGGGTGTATTTTTATGGAAGAAAGTTCCCGCCAAAGTGTCTAGGACCCCACAAAAATGATAATGGGGCCCTTGCCTTTCGTGTATTTTTTACAAAGGCCACTGATTGGGAACATGATATGTTTCTAGGACCCTGTCCTAGCACAGGCATTGGAAACCTGCTTATTTCAATGAAGAAAATTTCCCAAATTGTATAAGTTTGTAAGACTGTTCCTGAGCTCTGGACTCTTGCACCTGGAAGTCTTTGGATCAGTCCGCACAGGTTTCTAAACTGTGTAAGGCTTTCCTTGGTGATGGCTAGTCATTTCCAACTATTCAGTGAAAAAACAAAATCAGGAACATTCCCTGGATGTTTCGAAAACACCGGTGCGCGGAGACTAGAAGCAGAACCCAGCCCCTCTTAGAGACTCAGAAGCATTTGGCGTAAATTAATTTATTTTTAATGAAGGGCTAGTAGGATATTTTCCACCTTATGTTCTTTTACTGAGAAATCAGACAAAAAAAAAAATCAAACATTACTATTCAATAATCACTATTAATAAACACTATTCAATAATGTATCTTTGGTCTTTGATCTGTGAACAGAAACTGGTCTTGATAAGCTCTATGAACTCAGCTTGAAGACCCAACTTTAATGCCTGTGGAAACCTCCCTTTCACCCCGGAGACCCTGAGAACCGAACCTCTCGTTCCTTACACATGAATCAAAGATCACGGCTCCTCCGGCCAGGATGTCGGAGCCACTCAGCCGGTCCTCCAGGGCACGTCCTTGCGCCAGGGCGTCTGAGGGCAGGTGTGACCCGTTATCAGATTACAAAGTGCACATGATGGTGTGACTGAGACTTTCCCCCATAAAGCAACAGAGGCCAATGTGCTGTGAAGCTAAGGAAGCTTGGGCCCCGCCGCCCCTCACGTGTACGGGCCATTCTGAGTCAGAGAGACGTGACTGCGGCAAGTCTTACAGAGACGTGACCAAGCGCCCACCGGACACGAGAGACGTGTCTCTTTCCATCCCGGAGCCCCTCCACCACTTCTTCCTCAGCGGTGGCCCTGAGCTGAACATAGGCTTTTGGAGGCCTGTGCGAAGCTGAGCAGAGGAGGGGATACATTTAGTTTGTATTCAGCGATTTTGGGGGTCAAGATTGAGAAAACAAAACCTCTACTGAGTTCGTCCATGCTTGGAATTGGGGGAAATTTCCTACAGACGAGGTTTTGGTGCCGCAGCCACAGACATCCAGTGCTCGATGCTGAGGACAGGTCAGCTTACCTACTGGAGACAGGTCTCCGTCCCACTTCTGACCAAGGGGGAGTCACAGGGCTGGATCTGCTAGCCTGCACGGAACTACTAAATTCCAGACAAAATAGATGAATGACCTCAGACAACCAGGAACAGTGAGCTCTGAACGATGAGAGGAAGGAGGTAAGGCGGCATGTCCCGACTGAGCGGCTGAGCTGGAGCGCCTGACTCCCGGCAGAGCACTGAGCAGCATATGCTCGTGAGGGGACTTCCTGGGGCCCGAAAGGGGCGGCCTCAGAGCAGCAGAGGGAACGGGCCCTGGAGCCCACCCAGTGCTTGAAACAATTCGTGGGACGTGGGTGGAAGGAGTGTTTGCCTCAGTGATAGAACCATACTGGCCCTTAGCTCTCGACTACATGTTGCTTTGATCCCACCTAACACAGTTTAAAAGCAAAACCTAAAAGGAGAGAACTGATTCCCAATAAGTTAAGGGTGTCTGCAAACATACCTCCAAAACATGTATAGGGATGCAGAAGCACCCAGTACCCAACAAGGCAAGTTCACAATGTCTGCAACCTGACAAAAAATTACCAGATAAGCCAAGAAAGAGAAAAATGTTAACTAGAATGAGTAGGAAAAGAAAGAAATCGAAGACAACCCAGAAGTGGAAGAGATGAAAGAATTAGTATATGAGATTAAAAGTTGTTCTGTGTTTCATGTGTTCAAGAACTGAGAGGAAAGATCGGACATGATGAGTATAGACGCAGAAGATATAAATAAGATCCAAACCGAATTCTGGTAGGTAGGTCTAAACGATTTAGAAATGAATTCAGTCGTGTGTGTGTGTGTGTGTGTGTGTGTGTGTGTCCTTTCCCTCCAAGCCTGTCCACGGAAGGGACTGGGAGCACACCTTGTGCCCATACGTTGGTTTTCCAACGATATTCTCCGCTAAATGGAATCAGATTCCTTGGAGAAATGGCTGGTTTCAGGGGAAGAACAAGACGAATCTGGAACATCTTATTGTGTATGAAAGTAAGAAAATACTAAAAGAATAAAGGAGACATGTCATGCTCGCTTCAGCAGCACATACACTAAAACTGGAACGATACAGAGAAGATCAGGGTGGACACTGTGCAAGGATGACACGCAAATGCATGAAGCGGTCCATTTTTTAAAATAAATAAGTACCAGGTTTTTTTTTTTAAAAAAGTGTGTGCGTGTGTGTACATGCGGCGGGGGGGGGGGGGGGGGGATATCAAAGGTCAGAGAAGTCATTCTCATTGGCTAAATCTTGGACAATTTAAGAATCAACACTTAAAAAATGGCAACTGATTATAACCCATTGAGCATATCAGGAATCCACAACACTGGAATAAATGAATTAATGAGAATAACATTTTTCCCTTTCAGTGAAAGCCCACAGATAAATGAAGAAAGCATGGAGGTAGGAAAACAATCTCCATTTGGCAACGCCTATAAAAATAATTCAGCCGGGAAACATCAACAGATACTAAAGTTTGTGGGTAAATTGGAGGTAAGGAATGGACAGTCTCAAAATCTCTCCCACAGAATATTTATTAACTACAAAGGGTGAGAAGCATAGGAGAAGTCTGGCAGAAGTTATCTTAGTGGGATGACCGATAACGGAGACAATCAGGCATCCTATGCCACCTGTAGGTTGAAATGAAAAACAAACAAACAAACAAAAAAGCCCCCCAAAACAGCCTCTGTGATGTTCTGGTATAGAACAGCTTCACTTGGGTCTAAACAGTGCACAAAACCCATTAAGGGACACTCCATAATCTCCAAAATTATCGAGACCATGAAAGTCAAAGGAAGCCTGAAGAACATTCCAGATGGAGGCCCTGAGAGGTTACGCGGCTGAGAAGGAGGAAGGGCGAGGAGAGAGGAAAAGCGAAGGAACAATGTGGAGGAAAACCAGCCTGTCACTACATCGAAACACTGACCACACACGCGCCCGGTGCTCCGTGTGCAGAGGCATTGTTAGCTATTACCACGGTTCACTGACGAGTTCACCCAGACAATGCGCCACACGGGGGTGACCTAACGGGCACTTGAGCAGTGCCAGTGACACTCACACACCCAAAACGAGTGAATGGCATTCACAGTCCAAAGGACTTGCCCATCTACGACCCGCCACCCGAACATTTCTATTCGTCCTCGCATTTACTGAGAACCATATGAAAATTAACACACTCTGGGTCCCTTACTGAGTAGCTTAAACAAAATCTGGGGGAAATATGCAGAGATACTCAGCCAGTTTCCTTCTAAGAGTAGCTGAAAATAAATGAGCTGGTTGTCTCTCGCCTCTAACAAGAGTTCTTTGCTGTATTTATTTATCAAATACTTACTAGGCCCCTTCCCTTTGCCCAGCCATGGAAACACGGAACCGATAACAGCCCGCCTGTGGGCCTGTCCCGGCCTCCTTGGGTAGACCACCAGGGTTTTCTGGGAACACATGGTGGGGCGGGGGCTACCGCTGGCCGAGGTAAGGAGGTGAATAGGGGTTCAGAAGTATCTTCTGGAAGAAATGATGCCACCACACTAAGACACTCAGCTGGAGAAAATGCAGGTTTGCATTACTGTGAGGTCAACCAACCAACCAAAGGACTCCACAGCCAAGGATGAGGGCCCATGGCTGATCAGGGTACCCGAATTCATGCACAGCAGGGCTGCACCGTGTTTTCGTTTCAAAGTGCTTCTATGACAATGGGGAAATTTTTCTCCAAACATAAGCCTTGTGCAAAGAACACCTGTCATTCAACTCCATAGTTCACAAGAGCTGACATTAACAGACCCAACGCTTAGCCTCTGGCTGGGTAAAAATATCACACGTTGGACAGTCTTGAATGTGTGCCTAAGACCAAGGAGGATGCAACAGAAACGGACCAATCCCAAACCTTGAAAAGCTTGTTATTTCTGAGAAGGAAGGGCAGGTGTTAGTTTTAAAAACACAATTATTTTTGGTGGTAATTGAATAGGAAGGCAAAAGGAGATTCAAAGATCTTGCCATTTATTCCTGGTGCAGTGTGTTCAAGAAACTTTTAGCTAGAGGTTCCCCAGAAAGACTAGTTTAGGGTGTCAGGCAAGGAAACAGTAACTATACGAAGAGGGACATGCAAACCCGGGTGGAGGGGATTGGTAATGACTGCCCCGTCCGTCTCTCCCTCCCTCCTTCCGTTTCCACAGCCAACTTGGTGGTGGTGATCTGAAATCTACAGCTCAGCTCTTCACAGGGAAAGCAAACCTACTGCAATCAAGTCAATAGATGACAGTGTTAGGGAAGAGCCACAATGGAAGGAAAAAAGATGCTACAACGTGGAAGCCTTGAAATGATCAAAGACAATTAGTTTATCAGTTGCTCTGCTGAAATGTCAATGTAGAGACTTAAAAACTTCCTTTTTATGCATTTACCACCACAATCATTCAAAAAAAAAAAAAAAAAAAACCAATTTAACAGTAAAAAATGTGGCTAGGCAGAGTGCTGCTTATGTGGTTTTAGTTATTTCTGTGGTGCCCAAATTAGTGAAGCTTTAGTGCAAACAATTCTGCAAGCAACTTGGACTGTTGAGGACAATTAAATCTCATAACTTGTAGGTGGCTACTCATATTAGCCAAATAGAAGGGTTTTATCTTCACTTTCATAAATTTAAATGCTATTAATCATTATTATCAAAGTCCAAAACATACTGAGACTGAGACTCAAAACAAAATACAGTACAAATTTATTGACTCCCATCATTCTTAGTCAAGATTTAAGCAAAGTAAACAGACAACAGAATTGGATACGAATAACCAATGGATTAACATTCCACAGAAATCCTATTGACTGAATTTTCAGTCCAAAAACCTTATTCCTAAATAAAATCAAATAACAAATTATTCTGCTAAGGATATAACAACAAAATATACACAATTATAAAACCACATCTGTTTTTCTTTCAACTATAAGCATTTATTTAAAGTTTTAAAAGTCTTGGATTAATGTCAATAAGAAATTATCACTTTTTGAAAATCAGTATTAACCAAGTATAACTGGAAAATCTGGACAGCACTAATAAATGACCAAAAAGCACTGAATTCAATTATTTTACAGATTTACAGTAAAATACTTTGGTTCTCAAATGACCGTCTCTAAAAGGAATTTTTGAAACGCCTGATATGAACTCATTTTTCTCCTCCAGATCTAAGTGCTGACTGTTCGGTTTCCCCCTAGTCTCATGGAAATGCCGTAGCCAGAAAACACTGAGAAGCACCGAACAAACGGCAAAAATTAGGCAAACACCAAAGTTTTTAAAGTGCTAAAGCCACAAGAGAAAAACCTATCTTTAAAACTCAAAAAGGCCAGTGTTAAAGAACTTATTAAAGAATGAGTTAGCATTATTTAAATCAATGCTTTTCACTACTGCAAAAACACTATCAGAAATTGATGGAACTGACTTGTAATATTTCAATATTAATTAGTGCAATTTATAAAGAAACTTATTGATGATACCTAATTATTTTTGTAGTAAGAAAGTTCAAATATTTTTACTTCCTAGAGTTCCAGATTATGGTTGCACGCATGTACACACATGCACAGTTTGAGGGAACAAAGGTCGACTTTAGATGAGTTCAGTCTCTCCCTCACCCTGTCCAGTTGGCCAGTAGAAAAACACTCCTTGCCTCTAAGGAAGGCCATGTTTTCTTCTTGTCTGTTTCTATTCTCAGCACCAGTGGGTGCTGTGTGTGGATTACAGTATCACCAATTAAGTGCTGGGGTATATTTTTAAAGAAGGCTATTACCATCCACTCCAGATCAGAAAACTAAGAACCACTTACATCTCCCCACAAATGCACATGACATCACTGCTGAATTGTCAGTTGTATATTTTGATAAAACTAGAAATGCATACAAACCATAACCAATTTAAAGGCAGATATTCTATTAATCTTGAAATATTACTATAAAAAATGTGCACTATTTGTTACCCCCATTACTTACCTTGATAAAAACACAGGTTTTATGGTGTTCCTCCCTCCCTCCCCAACATGAAGAAAATGATTCAGTAACAAGTTCTCAGATTAACAAAGAATATATTAAAACATCTTACATTCTTTCCACAACTGCATAAAAAAGCAGGCATCTAGAATACTTACAAGAAATAATGAGCTTTCTACATTTTCAAAAATTAATTACAATCAGAAAAAACTTTTTCAAGAATCTATTTGCTAGCTACAGTTGCAACAATGAAAGACCAAGCTGTCGTACAGCAAGTATTTGCCTACTGAGATATATTCTTTAAAACCTTTTTCTTGAATAAAGTGATTCACTTGTCTTTCATTATTTTAGTTAAGGTTTAAAATAATTACCCAAGTGGAAGCATATTTTATTTTTTGACCACCAAAATAAACTCTTTTAGCCTAATGCTTTTAAGGTACAGTATAAAAAGTAATAGAAAAACCAGAACTGCATTATAAATGTTTTTGGTTCAAAATTTTATTTGAAATCTTATGTTCCTTGCCTAGACAAAAATGTGAACTAACAAGACAAACCACTGGCAAATCTTAAACTCTAACAGATTCGTAGAGCCTATATTTAGATAAAAAATATTTTTTACTGATTAACTTTATTAAAAAACCTCAAAAAGTAGCATAAAGGTTCAAGTTCTGGGATACTGAATTTACAACGCCAAGATACTGTGTCATGGACTTATTACAGAATCTCAAACAGCCGTAAGTGATGATTACTCAGGGAAACTGTCTTCTTCTGAAGTGATATAGCTACTAAGGTGTTCAGGGTAAGAAATACCACATTATATGGGGAATGAACTCAATGGACAATAATCCATCTTAATGTTTGATATAAAATTGTATGCTTTAGTTTTGTCTTTAAAATACATAGTCTTCAAGAAAATATAAAGATAGTAACAATCATTAACTGTAACTTATTTTCCTTCTGCCATCAAATTTAAGTTACGAACAGAAATAGGAAGTAACGACTCAAATATTTTGGGACACTGGAGTTTTCCAATGGAAGAATAAAAGGCAAAATTTCATACGTCATTTCTGTAATGCACAAGTCATTTAGTACCTTATTAAAAGGCTTGTTTCAAATAAAAAGAATGTCTTTCCTGCCTTTGGTATGGAATGTGGGTAATGAGGTTGATGAGGACAGTTGTCTGCTGCAGCACAAATGTAAGTACTCAGCAGAGTATTTCTTAAGTCACAGTCACTGAATTTTTTATTTGAAAGAATAGCTTGTAAAAAAATTAATAAACTTGGGAGTCTTAACCCATATCACTATCTTAAAAAGATTTTGTAGTTTCCCCAATTTTTCTACTTTTATATGTCTAATCACCCCACACAAATAAAATAAAAATTTTACCTTTTGAAACAGCCCCTTGAACTTTGGGTAACACCTAATGAAAGACTTTTAATTACAACTTACACAAAATAGAAGGAAAAAACAAGCTCAAAAAACCCTATGGGCCAAAAGAAGTTAAGAAAAACTAATTTTGGACCCCTGATAGTTCCTTAATACCTAGTTATGAAATGCTAAGCAGATTGGTTTCACTACGGATGTCTTACCACGATAAACTCCAACACATTCTAACAGAACTTATCACGAGACAAAGAGGTAGGAAACTGTGTATTGTAAATATTGTTTTTGAAAAGCACGTGGAGACTGCAGTGTGGTGTTCCTCCCTCTGCTTCAAGTCTCTGGAAGTGAATGGTAATTCGGGATTCAGAGCCGCTGAACTATGTAAATATAGGTCCCGACCTTATTTGTTATACTAATGTTGTTAATTTCAAAATTAGTGCCATGTTATCTTTGTCCCAAGTACACTGGTCAACCTCCCAGTGCCGGAGGAACTCGGGGCAGCCTGTTGCTGCTGAAGCCTTGTGCAGGGACTTCAGAGCCTTCCAGAAACCCTAATGTTTTCACCTCCCAAGTCTTCCATCAGTAATTAAATGACCCAAGAGCAAGTTTTTATTTATAAAAATCTAAGTATTACTATTGCTGATTTAAATTTTTCACAATTTTCATACAAAAATTTCTACATGACCACAAAATGCCAAATATTTTTATCAAGTGTCAGGATAACTTATTAAAGTTGAGGTTTATCTTTTTTCTTATTGCTAGAGTCTTCTAAAGACCTAAATCAACACTGCAAACTACTCCACTTCTTCCTGATAAGTTTTGGACTTAAGAACATGGCTAGGATTTAACTACAACTTAGGTGTCTGATATAACCAAAAGAAATACTTTAATAGTATTCCACTAGTTGCAAATCTCTACGGAAACAAAACCAACTCAAGTAAAAGATTACAATGACACTGCGGAATGAGGAACCATGCAAACAAACCAAGACCAATCAAATTTCAACATTAATGAAGTTGTCGTTCTGTGACTGTAAGGTCCAGAAGCACAGTATTTTTTAGAGTTTTTCTAAGTTGAGTATGGACGTTAGTAATTAATATCAGTTTACCTCAAACTTATACTCAAGCATAACAATTTCCAACCTTTATTATTTTGTAAAAAATATTTTGCTTCTTATGACACATTTCACAACTTAGGCTGAAATCTGGAGACCGCCCCCATTTCGTTATAGGTGAAAGGGGAGGTCTTTCAATTGTGGGTTTGTTCATGACTCCAAAGACTAAACGCGGTCTTGAATGTCCTATGGCAAAGTTTACACATAAACTGTCTTTTAAATGTGATCGCTGAAAGGGGCGGGGCATGGTAAAAAAGTGTGTCCGATTCTTGGGGCACAAACAGTTTCTCTGTGGCTGGAGCTGCATTTTCAGAAACACCTGTTGGACTGTCGGGCTCCAGGGGCTGGATCTTGGGCAGCGGTGGTGGCGGGGGCAGAGGTGGAGGAGATGGTGAGTTTGTGGGAACAGGGCACACTTCAGATTCTTTATGCGCTGAGTCCTCTGTAGCCTGAGACATATGGGACTGGAAGTGACTCCAGAGCCGGAAATTGGTGCGGAAAGCTTTGTTGCAAACATGACAGATGAACGGTTTCACGGAGCACAGGAGCTCCTGGTGCCGCTCCAGCTGCTTGTGCACGGTGAACGTCTTGCCGCATTTCTCACAGGGCCACAAGCCCGGGTCCTTGCTCGAAGCTGCTTCTTTGGGAGCTGCGCTGGCCTCAGGCACCACTTCCTCAGCTTCCTCCAAAGGCTCCTCTTTGACTTGGATCTTCAGTTGCTTCGAAAGGCTAAGGTCTTCAGGAAGACAGGAGGAATCTTCTGAATCAAAGTTGACTTGCTCTGAACAGTCACTGAACGCATTGTCGTCTTTTGGTGTGACCACGTGGTTTGCTTTCTGAGGCTCTGGCTGGGCCTGGGGCCTGGAGGAACTGGTGACTTCACCATTGTGCTCCAGGATGGGTAAGGAGAAGTTTTCGGCTGGGGCCATGGTGTTCTGATTGTGGACTTCGACCTGGTGCCGCCAGATGCTGAAGGAGGACTTGAACGTGCGCATGCACTCGAGGCACGTCAGCTTCTTGTACTCACACTTGCTCTCGTGCTCGTGCTTGAGCTCGGGCGAAAAGAACCTAAGGCTGCAGTAGGGGCACACGGTGGCGTTTCGGCACAGTCGCTCGTGGCTGCCTTGCTCTAGGAGAGAAGAGAGCTTAGCGTTACAGAGGCGGCACTGGAAAACCTCCTTGTTCTCTACCGGACCGTCAAGAGTGAGCGCTTTCGGCTTAGCGACCTTGTGTCCTCCAAGGGGCTTCTCTCCTGGGTGCATCTTTATGTGCTGTTTGAACTGAGAGAGAAAGCGATAGGCCTTTCCACAGTAAGTACAAATGTACACGCCTTTGGCTCGCGACCTCAAGTTCCTCTTGATGACTTGAGCTGGGGAACTACTCTGCCCCTGAAAACCGGGCTTGCTGCGCCTCAACTTAATGATCAGGGCCTTCTTAATCTCTCTCTCTCTCACTATGTCAATCAGCTTTCTTTGAAACTTTTCATCCAGAACGGCATGTGAACTAGAGGCTGGTGACGGATTCTTCACTATGCCGTGCTGGGTCTGACAGTGGGTCCACACCTTGAAGTTTGTGTGAAACCGCTTGTGACAGATGTCACAAGCGTAGGGCTTTTCTGGGTTGTGGTACATGTTAATGTGCCGGTGAAGACCTGCTGTTGATCTAAAGATCTTAAGGCAATGTTTGCATTTAAATTTTTTGTTTGGTCTTGTTCCCTCCAACTCACCAAATTCATCTTTGCTCAAGTCAGAATCTGGAAAATCTGCGTTGAGAGTGGGGCTTGAGCTTTCCTCGAGATTATCTTCTGACACCAGAGAGCCATGCTCATCCACCTTTAACTTCTTCAACGGTAGTCTTCGGTCTGCCTGGAACCTCCTTTTTGCTGGGAGTCTGCTCATGTCTTTTTGGTCATCTTCTGTTTTTAGAGGAAGGTCTCTTGAGCTGGAAGCCGCCGCTGCAGCGTCTCCCACAGTGACCCGAATGATGTCAGAGGGATCTGCCAGTGGACTGCGGGGTTCTGTCTTGATTCGAACCTCAGCGACAGGAGGGGCGCCTTCCCTCTCGGTGGACTGAGAAGCACTGAAGGACCTGAGGCGGTGTGGCTGTGTGGCTGGAGTACCGTCACCCAGGGCTGGTTTTTCACTACCCTCTTTTAAAGATGACTTTTGAGATAAAGCGCAAAACACATTCCCTGGTGCATCACTTGGCACTGCAGATGACCCCTGGGAAGATTTCAAATCTATTGAGGGTGAATAGACAGGAACCTGGCTGTCCATCGACAGTGACCGTCGCAGGAGACTCTTAACAAGTGGGCCGCTTCTGTCGATGCTTTGGTTTGCAGAAGCAGGCCCACCAGACGGGATCACCAAGCCCAACTTTGAATAGTACAACAAGTTTCTGTCCTCGCCCGGGCCATTTCCTCTGTTAGTTTCTTTCAATAAATAGGGAGTTTCTGATGAGCTTCGAAGAGACAACACAGGTGGCCGTGGCCTTTTCAAAGCCAGCTCTATAGCTTTTCCTTTGGGAAGCTGACTGCTCCCACCTGGTTTATCATCTACTGCCTCTCTGTCTTGTGGAGGCGTGGAAGGCAGGACTGCATTCCTTTTCACCAGACTGCTTCTGTTAGTATCATCCAAAGATCCAGAACGCTCAAGAGACTTTGTGCATCCCAAAGAACCATCTTTTGGCCAACTCTTTTCTGTCAATGACAAATTGTGAAGTGGTTCGACTGGTCTGGGGACATGTGGCTTACTGGCAGTGGCCTTGACGGAGGTATGGCTTAGGTCGGGTGGGCTCTGACCGACAGTTTTCCCTTGTGCTTCACTCCTGCTTTGACAGACAATGACACTTCTCTTTTGAGAACTGTTTTCATCATGTTCTATGAATATTTTTTTCCTGTTGGGACACACTGGAAAGGGTGCTTGAGGTGTTTTAGAAACGATGTTGGTCAGAAAGGAAATCCCGAGGCTGTAGCCTAGTTCTTGCACAGCAGCAAGGCTGCCTTTCTCCACAAACAGAGATGAGGAATAAATGTAGTTCAAAACATTATCAAAAGCATCTGGTTCACAAAAGTCAAGCTGAAATACAGTTTGTGACTCATTTTCCTTATTTGTAAATAAACTATGGAAGTATTCACTGCTAGCAGCCAAGACATTTTTATGAGCTCGAAACTTCTGGTCTCCAACAATCAGAAGCACGTCACACAGCTGTCCTTTGAGGCGCTCCTCATTGAGCGCGCTCAGAAGAGAAATGGCATGTGCTGGGTTGATATAATGCTGTAATCCTTCCATTGCTTGGGCTTATCTGAAAGACAAAGTGTAAAATTATTATGAATGATGCAGTGAAAAGTTCTCCACCAGGCAAAATGCTCAAGGGCAGGGACCTTTAGTTGTCTTTCCAGAGGTGCCATTATTTAGCAAATTATAGGCACATAAAAGCTTTTTGGATAATCTTATTTAAATAACATGGAAAATATGAGGAAACAAATCTTATGGCTTAAGTGTATCATCAATCATTAAAATAGAGAGATTTTAGGAACTAAAGACTGTAACACAGGCATTATCATACCATCAAAAAGGCTGTTAGAACTTGGTAGGTATGTAAGGAAGCAATATTTGAAAATAATGGTTATTTAGGGTCCTTATCCATTTGTTGTTTAGTTCTATTATACTCAGTTCAGAGAATAAGTTATGAAATACTGAAATGACTTAAGTCTATAATTCTGAAAGGAAATCCATTAATTACTATGTGGGTTCAGAACAAGTCACCCAAGGTATGCCTCTGTGGTATGTGGATTATTTTGAGCTAAAGGCTACTGAGACCCCCAAGAGAAACTCTGCCTCCTAAGCAACCTAGAAGTACTGAATTAGGGACCTTGCCCATAAAAAGATTATCAGATAATCTTTATGACCTCTCTATATGGCAGGACAAACTACAAATACTGAATACCTGCTCTTCTTATGTCCTGCAATGAACCTCCTCCCCTCTGAAGCCCAAGTGCCTTACCTCATCCTTAGCTCATAATGTCACATATACCTCATTTCCCTCATCTCTGAACCTCTCATGTATGTGGGATTCCACACATGTAATTAAATTTGGTTATTTTCTCTTGTTAATCTGTCTCCTATAGATTTAATTATTAGACCAGCTCAAAAAACCTACAAGGGTAGCCCTGGCCAGTTTGGCTCAGTGGTTGAGCATCGACCTGCAGACCAGAGAGTCCCAGGTTCGGTTCCCGCTAGGGGCACGTACCACCAAAAAACAAACAAACAAACAAACAAAAAAAAACCTACAAGGGTAGAGGAAAGTTTCTTCCTCCCCGACAACTGGGTGTATTTACTTGCAATGTGAATTGTTAACAATGGGTTGCAAAGCAGAGGTCTCACCAAATCTTTAAAAATAGGCATGGATTTGAAAGTCATTTGCTAATTACTACTGTATCCTAATCACTATTTAACAAAGGTTAGAAAGGTTAACTAATAAAAGAGTTTGTCTTCTTTATGCTAAACATCTTGCAATCTCCTGAATATTATTTTCTTACCAAATCACATTTAACAACAGCACAAAGGACACTTTGGCCTGGGTCTAAACTAAATTATTACTAGTTCTAAATTAAGGGGTTGAATTGGGATTTCACTGCAATTCTCTTTAAATGTAAAGGTGAGAGACAACTAAGTGGTTGGGTGCAGGCTCTGTCCAAGATGCTGGGGTTGAGATGCTGGCTCCTCTTCCCTTGCTGTCAACTGGCCTCTCTGATTATCAGGTCCCTCACCTGAAATGGAAGCAGGGACTGTGGCCTCCATTAAGGTTGTTGCAAAGATTAGGTGAGCTAGCATCTCATACGTAGTAAGGACTTGACAAATGCTGTGCGATTAATATTCAGAAATCGTAGGATTAATAGGCATTTAACTCAGTATCAAAAAAAGAAAATAAAAGGGTTCAGATTAACCCCACCCATGTTCTGGACAAAGAGAGCCATTTCAGAAAGAGATGATGCTTGACTCCAACTCTGACCCCTCACTTAGGCTTCTGTTACTGTAACACCTCACCTCTTTGGTTTGACTTTATAATGCTATCTTTTCTTTAGAAGAGTTATGACATTTACTTTTAATATTAAAATGGATTCAAAGTAACTAAGACTATTTGTGACAGTTTTATCATTCTCTACAGGGCAAGTTGTAGATGAACCAAACTCCACACTCATATGGGGCACATGTGCAGGTGCTCCTCTGGCTTTGAATTCTTAAAAATACGTTTTTATTTATTTTTTTTAGAGAGAAAGGGAGAAAGAGATTGAAATATTGATGAGAGAGAGAAACATCAATCAGCTGCCTCTTGCACGCCCCTACTGGCGATTGAGCCTGCAACCTAGGCATGTGCCCTGACTGGGAACTGAACTGGGACCTCTCAGTCCATGGACGACGCTCAATCCACTGAGCCACACCAGCCAGGCTCCTCTGGCTTCAAAGGACCAGCCTTTGCTGGTCAACCAGATCTGGGCTCTTCAGAGGAGCCCACAAGAAGAATTTGGTGTGTCACCAACCTGGGGTGACCAACATTGTCTGCAACGACCTTGATGTTATTCTGACTCCTTGTTATGGGACTGACTCAATTTAACTGACTCAGAGGCATGGCTGTGCTTCCCAGGACAATGCCTGTAGCCTGTCCACAAACAATCACCTTGGTCAGACTTTATCAAGTTTCTGTTTATTTCTGCCTACCACTATTTCATATCAGTGGTAAATTTTAAGTCCTCCATTTGTGATTGCTTGATAGAGGCATTTTCCCTTTCTGTTAGTCATCTTAATTTCTCCCATAACTCTAGTGTACTGTTTGTATAATCACACATCTACTTATGTGCAAAGAAACCCGTCATCTTTTATAGAGGTCAGCGGAGAATAAGCTTACAATGCCACTTATCAACTCAGCCATGTACTGAACACTGTTTTTAGTGCTGATGATTTTTAAGAAAGCTAGTTCTGATGTTAACACAGGCAAAAGTGCCCTGGCCCGTTTGGCTCAGCGGTTGGAGCGTCGGCTCGCGGTCTGGAGAGACCGGGGTTCGGATCTCGCCAAGGGCACGTACCTCTGTTGCAGTTTGTCCCCGGCCCCAGTTGGGGTTGTGTAGGTGGCGACCACTCGATGTGTCTCTCTCACATTGATGTTTCTCTCTCTCTCTCTCTTCCTCCCTCTCTCCCTCTCGCTCTATGAATGCAAAAAGTGTCCTCAGGTGAGGATTAAAAAAAAAAAAAAAAACCACAGGGAAAAGCAACAGATGCAGAATCAAAAGCTTAGACAAGTATTTTTCAAACACTTTCATAAAACCAAGTTAGTGATTTGAAACTAATAATAAAAAATGACTAGGGCAGAGTGAAAAATGTCAGAATGTCTCAAAGGTATTAAGGCTAACTATGATTTTGTGCAACTTTTGTTTCACTTCTGGGCCCACATATGCACGCATGTAAGCAAGTACTGGATTGGGATGTACAATATATTCTTTCCTGTGGGTCAGAGTCAAGACAGTTTGAAAGGGTGCTCTGGGCTAATCAACCTCTCTGAGCCTCAAAAATGCTATTGTGAGAATTAAATTAGAATACTGCCCTGGCCGGTTTGGCTCAGCGGTTGGAGCATCAGCCTACGGTCCAGGGAGACCCGGGTTCGGCTCCCGCTAAGGGCACGTACCTCGGTTGCAGTTTGTCCCCGGCCCTGGTTGGGTTGTGCGGGTGGCAACCACTCGATGTGTCCCTTTCACGACGATGTTTCTCTCTCTCTCCCTCCCACTCTATCTAAACAAAAAATGGAAAAATGTCCTCGGGTGAGGATAAAGAAAAAAAAAAGAATACAGTCATTGTTACCATTCACTCAATTCAAGGAAATGGCATTTGAGAAGGCCTGAAGGAGGCAAGGATGAGCCATGAGAATGATCACTGAGGAAAAGTGTTACCAGCAGAGGGGAGAGCCACGGTGACAGCAGGGCTGGAGCAGAGAGCTGAGGGAGCCATGGAGGATGGCATCGAAGAAGCATGAGGAAAGGCTGTGCAAGGCTAGGTGGACATGTGGAAGAATTGTACTTTTTACTAGGAGTGAACTGGGCAGCCATGGGAAGATTCTGAGCAGAGGAATTATGTTTAAAAGAATCACTGTGGCCATGTTGTTGAGAATGAACCACAGAAAGTAGGGAAAGGGTGGAAGCTGGGAGGCAGCTAGGATTCTATTGTGATGACACAGGTGAGATATGATGGCGGCCTGGACCAGCTAGGATTCTACCGCAATGATCCACGTGAGACACTATGGTGCCTAGATGAGCTAGGGCTCTACTACAAAGACCCAGGTGCCTGCATCAGCTAGGAGTCTACTGCAATGATGCAGGTGAGACTCAACGGATCGTGGACCAGGGTGGTAGCAGTGAAGATAGAGACAGTCATTAGGATTAGTTAAGGATGCCTCCAGGAATTCTGCTAGACCAACTAGAAGGACATCCTTACTTAAGACAAAATTTGATAGAAAAATTGGTTCAGATTTTTTCAGGGACAGTTTTGATCTTTTAAATGTAAGCGGAAACTTTATTCATTAATGTACCCTTGTGCTGCTTCACTTTCCCTACAACCTTTCTTATGCTTCCTGGGATCACTTCCCAAATAAACATCTGCATCTGAATCGTCTCAGGGTCTGCTTTTGGGGAGACCCATCTTAAGGCACCAAGGAAATGTGAAACTATTGTATAGGCTGAAGAACTATGTGAAAACTAAGCTGAGTGAGATTTTTGTCCTTTAATATGAAGCAAATGCCATTCCATATACCATTTACATCCTATTCTTATATGCTAAAAGTCAACATTTTCTCATTTTTCATTGCTCAGAAAAGTTTCCTTGTTTTGTTTTCTTCAAATTATTACCCCCGTTTTTGCTCTATGTAGTTCCAATCTCTTGAACCAAAGGCTTCTATAATCTTTGAACAAAAACATCTGAGAATTAGGAAACAGTAAGTCACTCAGAGAGTTGAGTTGTAAGAGAAATAGTCACTGTCCCTGAAAATTATTTGGGGATTAAAACCATTTAGAGTCATCAATGAGACTGCTTGCCCAAGAACAAGTATGTCCAAATTTCTGATATGCCTAATAACTCTACAGTATGTATTTTCCAATCTATTCATTCAAACAATAATTGAACATTTACCACCACACATTACTGTAAACATTTTTCATTCATTAACCCAATATTTATAGCAACGCTAGTCTGTAGGTACTATTATCATCTCCATTTTACAGACGAGAAAATGAGACACAGAGGAGGAATTGATGTGCTCAGGGTCACACAGACAGTCAGCAGCACAGCAGGACTCACACCTGGTGACTGGCTTCAGGAACCACACACTTAACTCCTACATCACCTGCCTCTAGTTTCCTCTTTCAATATTCACATAAACACCTGAGCTGGGTGCTGTCATCATCCCTGTTTTACAAATTAGAAAACGGAAGCATTGAGAGGTCAAGTGATGTACCCAAAGTTGCCCAGTCAGTCAGTATTGGGTCTCAGGTCTGGCCTCTGGACTCATAGCCTGGACTCTTAGTCATCATGTTACATGCTTCTCATAGCTGGGTACCCATCTAGTATGTGCCAGAACCGGCTAGACGTGGAAGCTACCAATCTGACAAGCATGGTCCTGCCTTACGGCACTTGAAATCTTGTGTGGGAACAGGACAAGTCAACCTGTCATCATACTCCAATATGCTAAGCACGGGACAGGTGTGTACAGAGGGAACACAGGTGATGAAACTGATCCAGGTGAGAGGGAAGTCAAGGAAGGCATTCACAATAAGAGGCCTCATGAACAAGCAGAAATTAAAAACATGTGAGCAGTCAGGAAGGAAGGGTAAAGGGCATTTCAAGGACAGGTACAGTATGTCCAACATCAGAGAGATAAGACAGAGGGCCAGGCTGTAGCAAAGGATACATGTACAGGAAGGCAGACAATGATGCTGAAGAGGGAATAGAGGCCTGAAGGCCCTGGGGGCTACGCTCAAGGAGTGTGACCTCTTCCACCTCTCCAGTAGCCCAGAAAAGGCTCTAGATGTCTGGAGCAACAGGACAGAGAACACAGGGCAGCACAAACCTGTCACCTTCAGGCTGAGGCCCTTTTACCTTTTCATTCAATTATTAAAACTTAAAAACAATGACCCCTTTTCTGGTACAGCTGCAAACAAATAACGTTTTGAACTTTTGTGTTTTAATGACAATAGGTGTATTTATGGAGTTTAACATTAATTAAAAATATAAAACGCTACACTAAGAAAACACGCAAAAAGGCGGGGGAGCACAAATGCTAAATGTCATGAGATAGTCCAATAAATCCGTTTGTGGCTGGTGGATGTGCAGACAGAATTCTCAAAACCTGCTGCCTTTTCTGCTCTTCTGTCCTCAGATGAGACCAGCTTTGTTACTGGATGTACCTTCTCCTCCATAAATCTGCTGGCTCATCAAACTCCAATTTCTCATGTATGTTTTAATTATGAATAATCAACCTCTGACTTATAAAAGAGTGCAGCATAAGTTTAAAGGCTCTTATGCATACACACTGCCACTGCATCCGTGTCGTATACCTTTCCCGTTGCTCATCTCTACCTGACTCATCGATGCAGGTGTCCCTGCTACCACTTTAGTCATGGTGGAAAAACCTCTACACTCTTAAAAGAAAAGTGGGTGAAATGTGAAGAAAAGTCTCTTTTATGAGTGGAAGAAAAAGCCAAGAGGAAATCCCCCAGGAAAACCAGATTCTGAAATAGGTCTGGCTTGCTTACCACTTGTATCCCTGCACACAAATATCTTCCCAAAGTCTGCCTGAATTGTTTCTACTTCATGTTGTTTCCTGAAATGTCAAAACGAGAGAATTTTTATGGTTAACAATTCAAGGAAAGAGTTTCAAATCAGTGTACTTGCTTCAAATCCTGGCATTGCCACCTATTAGATATATAACCTTGTAAAGATCACTCGACCTTTCTGAGTACTAGTAGTTTCTTTAACCTGATGAGCAGGGCTAATAACACTACCCACCACAAAGGATGTTCATGATGAAAAAAAGACACTGTGTGTTTGAAAGCTTGTAGTATATATAGTGTTTCCTATATGGCAAACACGCATTTTATCTCCTCCCTTTCCTGAATGTTTACGTGGGCCTGCTGTATGCCACGTATCACAAGAGGTGCTGGTGACAGCAGATGAGTGAGCTGGCCAGCTGCCTGTTGTCCAGTAGCACACATTCCCGTGGCAGGACAGACATGCATGATGAACGGTACAAGAAGTATATGATCATACTGATTTCAGGAAGCAGTTCATTGGGCCAGAGGTGGGAGGGTAGATGAGTGAACAGGGGGACATCAGGAAGGTTTGGGACTCACAGCTCACTTGACTATTACAATAACACTACAGGTTCCATTCTTTACGTTTCTACTACAGATACTTTTCAGAAACACTCATCTGATCCTACCAGGGCTTCAAAGCTCCCAAAGCTTGCCCTGGCCTAACGGTCCAGTTTCCTAGAGTGGCTGCAAAGCCCTTCACAACTGGATTCCAGAAAATAATTCATACCATCACCTCAAATTCCTCAAGTACTAAATGCTAAGATGAGCGGGGAATTCATTTTTTAATATAATTTAATTCAATACAATTTCCTCTTTATACCAAATTTAGATCAGTTGCAAGGAGTTTAGACTTTCAAGGGGATAGGTGGAAGGCAGGTCCTTCTGGAATGTACAGCATTCTGGGGATAGAAACAGAAAAAGGCCAAGCACAGTAAGCACTTGGATAAAAAGACACTTGGAGGTAAGTAAAGGGCTCAGAAAGGAAGTTGGGAGGGAACCAAAATAACCTCACTTTCAAGTTTTGGCGACTAAAACTCAGGTTGGCATTAGAACTAAATTACATTATAAATCAAATTGGCTCCAAGACTAGCACACTACCAGTGCAATAGGGAAATGTTGTTTTACATTTAAAATATAAACCTAAAATTGAACTCTGGGCACAGAATCCTTTGGAATGTTGGGGATTGCTCGTATAGTCCTAAAAATGACAGGAAAAAAAAGAGAGAATGCATGTAACAAAAAGCGAACACATAAACAATGTACCCACATTTGACTTTGGAATATGAACACACACACACCATTCAGCCCCAAACCCTCACCTCTGGATATAGCACAGACTCTCTCCATTTGATTTTACTAGATGGGGAATTTTATTAGATGGGGACAGGAAGCCTGGCTCTGAGTTTAGATCTTATCATCATCACTCACTCTGGGACAAGGAAGATACCTAGAAATTATTTGAAGTTCCTAAGATTTCAAAGCAAGCCCTGCTTATCTGATCCTTCAAGAGAGTAATGTCACTCACACCCTTGGATTTCATGTCATCACATTTTTAGTCTCTAGAGAAGGTCTGATTTGGTTCAAGGCGTGTGCTCTGCACCTCCAGCTGAATGGCTCTACTGTAACTCAGTTCACGGTGACCAGAGCCTCTCTAGTCCTGGCTGCCAGGCAGCTAACTCCTCCTCCTGCTGCAGGAGGCCCCTTGATTTGGCTTTGGAAGAACCACCCTGGTCCTCCTAAGTACAGTCTGATGTCTGCTCTCCCTTGCTCAGAGGTAGGTACACCACCAAAGCAAAGCCAATTAGAAACGTTCTCTCTAGAACGGGCTTGATAAAGACGACAAAGGCAGTAAATGACTGGAGCTGAATGACCTCAGCAGTGGCCGGGGAGTACAACCTGCTGGAGCCCTGCTACACAGATTGTTGCAGTTTCTTACTATGGTTTTTATGTTTCCTGGTCCAATTTGTTAGCTTTTCCTTAAACCTCAAGAGCAACCCTGTATCTTTATAATAAATTCATTTTTCTATTCAACCTAACTAATCTTTTTCTGTTCTCATTAAATGAGCCTAACATATTTCTAAGTGGTATTCATTATTCCTGCCATACCTTCCAAATCCATCGATAAACTGCTGCTCGCCTGAGCTTTCTAAAACAAAACTTTGATAGCTCATCAGATGTACACATTAAGTATTACTATTATTAATTCAACTTAATTGAGCTCCTATTAGATGTGCAAGGCATGGTAAGATATATCTGAAATACAGAGGTGCCAAAAATAGACAAAGCCTTGGCTTTTTAGTGAGGTAAATCAGATGATAAACAAGAAAACAAATAAAAAAGATGAGTTCAGATTGTGTTAAGCGTTATAACGGAAAGAAATAGGGTGCTTTGACTGAGTGAAGTAACTAGCGGTTTCGAGAGAATGGTCAGGAAATGCCTTGATGTGACATTTTAGCTAAGATTTAATTAAGACCTGAGTGAAAAGAGCCAGCCTTGACTATGTTTAAAAACAAAATAATAAAAACAGTGGTTCTCCATTAGCTAAAATTCAAAATTTTTAAACCATGTAATCCAAGGTTCTGTAAATTTGGTTTTAAACTACTTTTTAGATTTTCTTCCCCTTATTATCCCCGTGATAACTTCCTGCTTCACATACTTCATCTCTGAGACACAACCTGCACGTCTTGCTGCTTCTATCACCCAATCTGTTCTACACCTCATCTAACTCCCCCCCACCCCCATAACTCCACTCAGCTCAACATAAATCATCTTTCAAAGCTCAGCTCAAGTTCCAATTAAGCCTTCTGTCATGGGCTGGATTGTGTGACCTCCTCCACACCCCACATATGCTGAAGTTCTAACCCCCGGTACCTCAGAATGTAAGTGTTTTCGAAGATCAGGTCTTTAAAGGGGTAATTAAGTTAAAATGAGGTCTTTGGGCCCTACTCCAATCTGACTGGTATACTTACAACAAAAGGACACAAACACAGAGGTTAGACCATGTCAAGACAGCCATCTATATGCCAAGGAGTGGCATCAGGAGAAATCAATCCTGCCTATATCTTAATTTTAGACTTCTAGGCTCCAGAACTGTGAGAAAATAAATTTCTGTTCTTTAAGACATCCAGAGTGTGGTACTTTGTCATGGCAGCCCTAGAAAACTAATGGACTTTCCTTAACTACTTCAGTCTGTAATGAGCAAACACCTTTCAACTCCTGTATTACAAAGTGGCATCCCTTATGTAGTGTTTATTCCGCACCTTATACTGTTAGTCATCTGTATCTCCCCAACAGAACTGTAAGCTATTTAAGGACTGAGAATCTATTTAATATCCTTTGACACTCTTCACAATGCTCAACATAGTATCTTGCACAATAATTATTATAAATTTGTCAATACTCTGATATTCCAATTAAATACATGAGTGAAAATCATGCCTGTTGTTTCCTAACATAGAGCTGGTCCCATCACTGCCCTGCTTTAGAATACTATGTTGATTTTCCTATTACCTCCTAGATAAAATCCAAATGCTGGGCTGACATATATAGGACTCTTCATACTTCATGCCCTTACTGGACACTTCTTACTGTCCACCCTACAAACCTGCACACCTGATTTCTACCATCGAAAACATCTTTACCTTTCCTTTACTCAGCCAACTTATACACAAAAATCCAGCTCAAATGTCACTGTTTCTACAAAGCTTTAGTAATTTGCCCCTAGCCAGTAGCTCGGTCATCTGAACTACCATAATCATCTCTCTGCAGTAACTCAACTATTTTGAGTGCCACGCTTTCATATGTCCTTCATGAGTCCCTAAAAGGGAGAACTCTTGTATCCACCTATGTATACATATCCCTAATGCTTGGCACAAGATCTGGCAGGTATCTATTGGGCAAAAAGAGAAATCATCACACGTAAGGCTCAAGACCTGGACTTGCTCACCTTTATTGTTCCAGTGTCTGCTACAGAGTTCAGCACATGGCAGCTTTCTTTGCTTTGTGTATGAGTCCTTGTGGCTTTAACTGACCACTGGATAATCTCTGAAATCTTTATCTCCACTTGGACTTCTCCTTGGGACTCCAGCCTCTCAGGAGCCCAATGAAGATTTCCAGCTCAGGATATCCCACATGTCCAGAATGGAAGGCATGACCCACACCCTCTCACCCTACCGTCATATCCGCTTGTCCTCACATATTCCCTATGTAGTTTGGTGTGCTGTCAACCACCAGGTCTCCCAAACCAGAAACTTCTTCTCGTTCCTTTCTAGCTAGTCACCATGACCTGTCAGACCTTGCTCATAAACAGCCTGAGAATCTGCTCTCCCTTCCCTGTTGGCTGTGGGGACTAAAACTGTCCCTTCGGTTATCTCCTCTTCATCCAGAGATTCCCTCAGTAACTCAGCCCCTTTGTTGTTACACACCTAACACCCCCTGCCATAAACACTGTAAATTCCTCAAGGGCAGGAGTTATAATCCACAGAATGAGGCACACCATATATTCAATAAATAGTGTCAAAAGAATAAAGTTACTGTTAAGTAAACCAATGCCCCCAAATTCTACTTCCTTTTTAACATAAAAAGTTAAGGGTATTTAAATTTAAATGTAATGACTATTAGTCATTCGAGATGAATGAGGAATTGACTCCAAGCACCGGAGGAAAAAATCTCTAAAATAATTGTCAACAAGAAATCTTTCGAGAACGGATTAACCCGTTTCCTTGCCATCTTAAACGAGGCCCGCAGAACCTAATGCAGGCTCCTTATTGATGACTCAGGGTCGTCACGATGAACAATCACTGGACTATGCTGTAACACACCGGGGCCTCAGATGCTGGAGGCGAGCAGCGCTTGCCGACTCTTGCGCTCAAACCCAGGCTGCTACACTGAAGATCAGTCCCCCATCTCCCGCTGTGGGCAACCCCGCTGCACAGGCTAGAAGCACCCCCTCCGAGAGGGCTGCTCAGAAGCACTCTCCAGAGCCACGCAGCCTGCGGCTGGTGCAGTGACCAGGCTCAAGGACCCGGGCAGAGGGCCTCCTACAGGGAAGGCATGACCTTATGGAGGGCGCCACCCAACTCGTTCCGATAAGGGATCTGGGCTGTGGCAGCGCCCATTACGAGATCGCGGGGACTCAGGCCAGCGTCCGTCTCGGGGCTGGGGTCTCGAGCGCCGCCTCCGGCCGCACAGTTCAGACCGGGGCTTCTCAAGTGGGGAACCATCCACAGCCGCGCAGAAACGCTAGGGGCCAGCGGGGGGCTGTGCCCCGCGGCGGGCGGCGCAGTCGGAGAACAGGTCTCCCCGCGGGCCTGGAGGGCAAGCAGGGAGCTTCGGGGTCCGGGCATTGGGCGCAGGCCGGCCGGGAGGCAGGGCGCGGAAAGCCGAGTCAACTAGGGTTACGGCCGGTTACGCCCGCAGCCGCCAGGCGGGGCCCGAGGGGCCGGCGGAAGGGGCGCAGGCCGCGGCAGGTGCGGGGTCCCACGGCCCCGCCAGCTTCCGCGCACGCTCGCGCGCCCCTCGGTGGACAGCGGCCAGTGGCCTGCCGCCACCAGTGCGCAGGACGGGAACACGCGCCCTCGACTAGAAGGCGTCCCAACCGCTCCGCGCAGCAGCTCGCGCTGAGGCCGGGCGCGACCGCCCCCAGGGCCACCTGGCCGGGAGAGGGAAGCCCAGTGAGGGACGGAGCGTGCGCAGTGGCGAGGGCGAGGCCAAGTGCGGGAAAGGAGCATGCGCAGTGTGAAGACACAATAGGCTACGTGGGAGCCCAGGGCATGCTCGGTGAGGGACCGGAGCCGGCGCACGCGCAGAACCGCTCGGAGCCCGCAACCCACTGGTGGAGAGAAAAAAGAGGAGAGAAATCACCTCAGAGTTACGTCAGGAAAGGCTGCGTTTTGTGGGGAGGCTGTGGCCTCCCCCGGTGCCCCGCTGTTCTCCTAGGGCGAGGGGCGTGACAGTTACTCACCGGTCTTCAGCCCGGAGGCAGACGCCGGGTCCCTTTCCGCTCACACTCGGCTCGCGCGCGCCGCAGCCGCCGCTGCCGCTGTGATTCCATCCATCTTGAATTTGACGTCATCCCACACCAGGGATGAGGTCATTGCAGGCAGCGCTCGTCACGTGCGCGGTGCTGTGATTGGTCGCCGGGTGCCCGGGGGCGGAGCGAGGGCGGGGCGCGGCACCGGGGGCGGGTGGGGGCGGGGCGGGGCGGCGTCAGACCTGACGGGAGGACCGCCAGCGCCGCAGCTCGCGCCGTCCCGCGCTCGCCTTCCGCTCGCTTCGCGCCCGCGTCCTCCCGCGCCCGGCTGCTGCTGGGATGGCGCCCGCGTCTGCCCCCTGCCGCCGCCAGCGCCCTCCCGCGCCCGCCTTCCCCCCGCTCCGCGCTCTCCCCCGGCCCGAGGTAGACTCCAGGCGGCCGTGAGGGGAGGCGGCGGCGGGAGAAGAGCGCATCCCGGGGACGGCGCGCGGGCGGGCCCGGTGGGTCCCAGCGCCCGGAGGACGCGCGCACCCGGGAGGCTCGCCGCGGCCGTTCGCCCCGCCCCCGGGCCGGCCGTGCGGCCGCGCCTCCACGCGCCTGGGAGGTCGGTTTCCCGGACGGAAGCGGGAGCCGGGCTGGGGAGCCGGGCGGCGGCCCCAGCGGTCGTGGGCCCCGGCCCGTCGGCTCGCCCACTGCACGGAAGCGTCACAGTCCGCGTGGAAGGCACCGGATATGGATTCGCTGACCTTGAGCGCTACCATTTTCTCCCACCAGAACCCTCTGGTCACGAGGGACCGCGTGACAGTGGCCTGGAGGAAACGGGGCCGCCGGCTTCACTCCCGTAGCCGACGGTGGTTGCCAGGTCACCGGCCGCGTGGCAGCCGGCGCCTCCACGGCAGTGGTCCTTGAGTTCACTGACCACGAGGCAGTCACCTTCAACGCCGGGTCTCAGCGCGGGCCTCTGAGACTTCGCCCCCTGCATGAACGTCACCAGTCCGTTCATCAGAAAACTCGTTCCACTTCTGAAAGGAGCGTTTCTTACATAGATTTCAGAGAGAGGGGCCGATGTGTTCCTCCACTGGTTCATGCATTCATTCGACCCCAGAGGATGTAGGAAATGTTTGAGGAGTGTGTGTGAGAAGTCGTCTCGGATCGGGTGGATACGATTTAAAGACTTGTTTCAGAATCACCGGCTCTGTTATCACTCATCTTCAGAGTCCTCTTCCTCTCAAAGGAAGAGACTTGCACCTAAAACTTTTCCCCTGCAAACTATTTAAAACTTTCAAAAGTGTCTGCAGGTTGGACTGAAGAGCGGTATGGTGAAAAGTGGCTTTGGCTTAAAAGAAGGCAGAGGCAGCAGGGCCTTGGGGTTAGGGTCCCCTGTGTTTAGGCTGGGTGAGGGCACATGGTTGGCCCGAGTTACAGGTGAGAAGGCCAATACCAAGCTATGTAGCAAGAGCCAGAGCTATTAGCTAGGTTTTCCTGTTCACAGTGTGCGATCCCGTATGCGGAAAGCAGTCTCCCGGTACCTGTGTCCCTTTGTAGCTGCTTCAGGAAGACACACCTGAGTCTCCACTTTAAGCCATGTGAACAGGCTTTTGCCCTCACCGTCTCTCAGTAAGAGGGACTTGACTGCTAAATCTAGCAGAAACTTTCACTCTTTCAGTTGGCTGCTTTGATTTGTGATTCTCTATTCCAATTCATTTTTTATTTTTTATTATTATTATTTTTTTATCCTCACCCAAGGACATTTTTCCATTTTTTGTTCAGGTAGAGTAGGAGGGAGAGAGAGGAACAGAGAGAGAGAGAGAGAAACATCGATGTGAAAGGAACACATCGAGTGGCTGCCACCCACACAACCGACCAGGGCCGGGGACAAACTGCAACCGAGGTACATGCCCTTAGCGGGAACCGAACCCGGGTCTCTCAGGACCGCAGGCCGACGCTCTAACCGCTGAGCCAAACCGGCCAAGGCCAATTCATTTTTTAAATCACCTTGTTTAGTGATGCCTCATTCCCTGGATTTTCTCTCTTATCTGACCCTGGTTCTTGGCCTCCTGTGTTGGCTCATCTGCCTGTGTCCACACTTTGGGGTTTCCCGAGATTCACACTCATCCGATGCAGTCTCGGCCATCCCTGGGACATTAGCCCAGCCGCCTGAGCTAGGGGACTTGGGCACCATTTCTGCCCCTCTTTTTCTCCAATGTTCTGCCTATCACCAAATCCAGTCCATCAGCCTCCTGAATGTTTCTCTGATAAGGTAACCAGTTTCCACTCCAGCAGCTTTCTAACTACTCTCCCAGCCTCCAGGTCTTTCTCTTTTAAGCCACCCTCATTGCAGTCAGTGATATTTTCTAAAAGTAAAAGGTATGCCATTTCCTAGCTTAAGTTTTTGGTGGCTCTAGGTTGCCCTATGGAGACAGCAGGGTAGAAGTACCTATTACTTATAAGGTGGTAGGGGTGGAGGTCACTAACTTTTCATGGGCTCAACTCTAAGTGGTGTTTTTAAAAGGTGCCCTGAGAAAAGCAAAATAGAAACTTGGGGCGGGAATCCTAAACTCAGGTTCTTACCATAAAGTCCAGACTCGGTGTGAGCAGGGTTGTCAAAAAGGCAAACAGGAAATCACTGTTTTGTCCACCCAGCCTGCCAGTACCCTCTCACCCCCCTCTGCTTGCCCAGAGCCCAGCATGCTGCCTGGCCTCTAGTAGGAGCACCACATAATTTTTATTGAGGATTATCCATATGCGGATGCATCCCAACAGGATCGCTAGTGTCATGTACATATGTTTATTTATACACTGTTCACAACATTTATATAGCCAGCTTCTTGTTAGACAGCCCCATCTGGATAACCCACACCATTCACTTAGCAAACTCACAGCTGACCTTCCTTTCTGCTTCCTGTCTTCCCTTTACCTGTTCTTCCTTCCCAGCCTCTATCCTACTGAATGGGGCTGCCATCCATCCCATTACCCAAGCCAGAAACTTGATTATATTAGAGACCTCTCAGTTTCTGTGTCCAGCTGTCACTAAGTCCTATCAATCTAGCTCTTAAATGGCTCCTTAAATCTGTCCTCACCAGCCCTCCCTCTGCTCCTGACCTCCATGGTCTCTGGCCAATCACTGTAGCCCCTCAACTAAGTTCCTGCTTTGGGTTTTCACCTTCCCTTCCCAGTCAGTCTGCCTTCAGTCAAATTATCTTTCTAAATGCATATCTGATGTCTGCTGGGGTGGCCTGTAACATGCGGTTGCTATGGCTCCTCTCTGCTCCTCCCCTTCACCAACTTTGGCCAAGCATGGCTGGGACAGGCACTGACTCGGGTGCCCTTTCCCTACTTGGTCTTCTGGCAGATCTGATTCGCTCTTCCAAGCACCAGCCCAAGGCCTCCTGCCTCTGTGCATCACTGCCACAGGGCCTTGGTCTGGGCAGCCCTTTCCAAACAGCTGTTTTACTGTATGTCCACAAGCAAAACAGTGCGATTTCTTATCACTTATTTCAGAATAGCTGAGCACATTGGTTCTATTTGGACCTCAAGCCTCGTGGTTCTGTGCACATAATGACTAGATGGTTAAAAATTCTGACTAAATTTCTCTGGTCCTGAAACTACTAGTTTTTTGTTAATCCTCACCTGAGGATATTTTTGCATTGATTTTTGAGAGTAGAAGGAAGACAGAGAGACATTGATGTGAGAGAAACATCCATTGGTTGTCTCCTGGACACACCCCAACTGGGGTGGGGATTGAACCTGCAACCCAGGTACATGCCCTTGATCTGGAATTGAATCCTTGACCCTTCAGTTTGCTCCAACCATTGAGCAACTCCGGCCAGGGTCTAAAACTATTCTTAAAAGACCAGAGATCTGACTGTTTTTTGTTTGTTTCTTTTTCCTTTCCTTTCAAAAAAAAAAAAAAAAAATCTGGTGACTTTAGAGCTTTACTCCTCTTTTAGTAAGAGTCAGCCTCATCCTGGTCCAGAACGTGAGTCACCCTACTGAAGAAAAGAAACGAACGTGTATTCAAACTTCATTTCAGAAGTACTTCCTGTTACTTAATCATCTCCAAGGTTCCTGTGGGTATTTGGCATGTTTTATGCTGTAAGTTTGTCACATTTAAACATCAATATTTTCCCCAAAATTTATATTAACGTAGCAATTTTAGAATAGACTTGATAAAACATTCTAGAACTTGAAGTTTGCTTACAAAGCACTCTCATAAAAACTGGGTCAAATGACTTAATCTGCTTTCTCCATTACAGAGCAGCCCACCCCACCCCACTCCCCTTCCCACCCACCATGTGACTCAATTGATTTGGTACACTGTCTGGTTCCCTGATATCTGTGAAATTACTACCTAAAAATAGATGCCCTGTTCCTTATATGCTTTCTTTTTTTCCTAAGGTTGGAAAATTGTCAATGTTCCCACACTTTGAAAAGTGGCAGGTGGTGCTGACCAATGACCAAGAACTCAGATGTCATCTGAGGTTTGACCAAGTCTGCATATTTAATTCTGAACTTGATGATATACCATTTGCTATAAGAAATCTAGAATTTTCAAATAATGATGGAAATATTCCCAAGAATTTTTGACTTGTAAAAATCAAATAAATTTTAAAAATACCATGTTTGGAGTATATGATAGGGAGGTACAGGTGGAAAATATGTTTGGGCATCCCTCTGAAATTGGATTTCCTTTTTAGATTTAGTTTCCCCTTGCAGTCAATGGACTAGAGTGCTGATCTCATCATGATGGCATGCTGATTAAGATAGTATTGCCACTGTTAGCAGAAGTGTAATAATTATCCTAAAAGTAAGCACTGTGCTCTTTCTCCTGGGATTGAAGTTAGCGCATCAGAATTCTGTAAGAAAAGTAAAAACCTCTCCCAGTGCTACAAGGGGGCCCTTCCTGCTCTCATTGCCCTTTACTGCCCAGTAGAGTGACTGGCCAATCTTGGGCTCGGGTACCAAAAAAATCTAAATGGTCACCAAGGCAATTATGCTATAATACAAATTCTTGTTCTGTGTCATTTTACCTGTACTCGTTTCTACAGTACCAGTTTGGGGACTTACACAACAGAACTT